TGCGTTTTATGCATTGTCGGGGCAGTCGGTTTTAACTGCCATGCAGAACAGAGAATGCATCGAGGACTTCGGCATGCGCGCGCAACGACGCGCGCTCGCGCTTCGCCCATTTGTTACAAGAGATTATTGCGTCAGCGCGCGCGCAAAGGCGTCCGAACAATTTTCGACACGCGCGCGCGACGAGGCAAATTTGGAAGCATATCGTGCAACTCCTGCAGAACAGGACTATCGTGTCGTCAGAACTCGCAAGAGCGCGGGCGCAAACTTTTTTCTGTCGGGGACTTCGTGTTGCAAAACCACGCGTGTGGTTTGTATGTTTTCGTGGCGCTCGACTTGGGAAACGTCACGAAACCGAAAACATGTCAACGAGGTTTCCGGCATGCGCGCGCGACGACGCGCACGTGCGCAATTCGTCTCATGTTGTGCCGGACCTTTTGGAAACTATTGATATCTGATAAACGCGAGCGCGCGCAATGTATATGTATATATATATATGTATATATATATATGTACTGTTGCGAAACAAATAGCGGCGGGGGGGCCGGCCCTCCTGCGATGGTGCGAATTCATACTCAGGGTGGGCGATGGGTCAACATCGAATGTCAATTTCAACAAATTTCGATACGAGAAGGTGGATCGTCAATTCCGCAAGGGGGGGGGGAGCTTTAGTTCTTGAGGGGAACAACATCTGTGCTACGTAGGGCAATATATGTAAGACGAGCTACGTAGTGCAAAGCGACGGGGCAACGGCGGGGCGGCGACGGCAACAACATAGCCGCTGGACCGCCACCGGGGCCCTGACGACGCGCGGCGATGGCGACAACATAGCAGCCAGACCGCCACCAACGCCAAGACAACGGGTGGCGGCGGGGCGGCGACGGGGCGGCGACGGCGACAACATAGCCGCCAGACTGCCACACCGGCCCAGACGACGGGCGGCGACGAGGCGGCGACGGCGACAACGTAGACGCCAGACCGCCACGCACTGGCCCAGCTCCAGACTAACACGCAGAGTGTCTTGGGGATAAATACGCACGTGTTTACATACATTTCTATATATAGATATGTATATATATGTATGTATGTATGTATGTATGTATGCATGCATGTATGTATGTATGTATGTATGTATGTATGTATGTATATATATATGTATGTATGTATGTATGTATGTATGTATGTATGTATGTATGTATGTATGTATGTGTATACATATATATATATATATAAGAGAAAGAGAGAGAAATAGAGAAATAGAGAAAAAGAGAGAGAGAGAGAGAGAGAGAGAGCGTGACCCACCGCCGCTTTACTGTGGAAAATTTCCCCCTTCCTCCGGAACCCGGGGCCCCCCCCCCTCCGAAAATCCCCCCCCCCCCCCCGCCCCTCCCCTCCCCTCCCCCGGCAACCCCCCCCTCCCCAACCCCCCCCCCCCCCTTCGAAAACCAAGGGAATTCACTACTGGTCGAACCCCCCCCTCGAAAACCGGAGGGGGGGTCACTACCCGTTCGAACCCCCCCCCACCCCGCACCACCAGCAAACAACTCCCCGTCCCTACCACCGTCCGCACCACATCCCCCACTGTTGTTCCCAGCGCCACTGTTTTCACCACCGCCGACCCCGCTGGTTCCACCACCGTCCCTGCTGTCCCCACCAGTTCCCCCACCACTGTCGCACTGTCCCCACTGTCCCCACCACTGTTCCCACCACGGCTCCACTCTCCCCACTTTCTCCACGGCCCCAACCACTGCCCGACTATCCCCGCTGTCCCCACTGTCCCACTGACTCCTCTGCTGTCCCACTGAGCTGTCCCACTGTTCCCACCACTGTCCCCACCACTGCCCCCACTGTACCTCTGCCCCATTGTCCCACCACCGTCCTCGCCACCGCCTTCACCACTGTCCCCACCACCACTGTACCCTCCACTGTCCCACTGTTTCCACGACGTTCCCATTGACCCCACGCCAATGTCCCCACCACCAACGTCCCCACCACTGTCCCACTGTCCCCACTGTTCCCACCATTGTCCTCACCAGTGTCCCCACCACTACCGTTGTCCCACTGTCCCCTCGCCACTGTCCCCACCACCACCGTCCCCACCACTGTCCGCACCCCCCCCTGGTTTTCGAGGGGGGGGGGGGGGGGTCGAACCGGCAGTGACCCCCCCTCGGTTTTCGAGAGGGGGGGGGTTCGAACAGGTAATGACCCCCCCCCCGGTTCTTCCTCCAGCAATGGTAGAAAACGCTCTTATATATGTGTGTATATTTATACATACATATGTATATGTATATGTATATGTATATATATATATACACACACATACATGCACCTATATAGATACGTATGTATATATATATATACAGCCATACATATTTGCTCCGGGGGAGAAGTCGGGGGAACACTGAGGGGACACGAATAGGACAGCGAACCTTCCCGCTCGCAGCGCCAACAAACTGGACAAACGCATAGTGTGCGCACCCCTGACAGCCTCCAACCGATTATTCAAGACACACACCATGAGAGCCTATTGCGACGCCCAACGTAGCGGAATCAAAATACCGATCGCTCAAGAACGGGGCCGACGGAGGGAGGGGAAGGCGGAGGAAGAGGAGGAGGGGGAGGAACACAGAGGCTGGCAGGTATTAGGCTGCGTACTGGACAAATCCCACTCTGGCCAACAAAAAGCAGCCGCCAAGAGAGGGGGACGAGGAAGGGGGCAGAAAAGTTCGGGCATGAGGAGCAGGAGGAGGACAGCAGGAAGTAACACAACGTGCGGGAGAAACGCCAAACAATCCCAACACTCCCCAGGCTTCTGAAAGCGGCTCTGCCGCACACGAAACTGGCCCCGTGGTAGGTGAAGGCGGCCAGAAGGCTGGACAATACGGGCCAATGGGCGGTTCCCTGGCTAGGGAGAGGCCGGACAGACCAGGCGGCCCAGCACCAGTCCCCTCTGCGTGCAGCCGACGCGAACGCCAGCGCTCCGCCTCAGGGAGAAGAGAGCGGGAGGAAAGAGACGAGGGGTGTGTGCCGCTCGAATCGGCTGCTCGGCGCACCGTGCCCCAGCGTCCATCGGCCACGCGGCTGGGACATCGGCCACGCGGCCAGGGCATAGGGCACACGATAGCTTGCACCACCTCGCGCCGAAGGGTGCCGCGGCTTGGGGGGGAGAACGGGGGAGGAGGAGAGGAGAGGACAGTATGACATCAACAACGCCTCTGGTTGTCCCGTGGGCGGCAGGGCCACACGCGACGACGTACCCTCCCCGCCCGCGCAGGGGTACGAACAACACTACACGAGCAAACTGAAACGAGAAAAGGGCTTTTCCTCACCGCAAAACCCGGATGCCACCACACACTCGCTCTTGCGGTTCCTGCGTGACACCTGGATTCGGGGATCTTCTGACCCGGGTCAATCCAGACCCGGGTCAGCAGGAAACCAAAAACTGCAATGCAGGAAAAAAAAACTGCAACGCAGGTCTTCGCAAACCCGGATCAGCCAATATGTGCGGCCGCCTGGCGGCCACGAGCGGCTCCCAAACCCGGGTCAGCCCGAGGGGGTCTTCGCAGGATCCTGCAGGATCTGGCGCCCTGGCTGACCCCCGTTTGCATTGACCCCCGTCTCGAGGCTCCCGATGGATGCCGCCACACGCTCGCCCCGGCATGGAAATCAGATGCCGCCGCGGTCTTGCCCTGGCTTCAACCAACACCTGCGGCAACGGTCTGGACGGCCCCGCGGGGGAGGGGGAGGAGGAAGAGGAGGAGAGGAGGCGGAGGGACAAAAAAAAGGGGGCGACTGCGTGCACACATCGACAACTCCAGCCTCGAGGCGCCCAGCCGGCCAAGATTCACGGCGCGGCACCGCCGCACGGAGGAGGACGAGGCGGAGGGAGGAGGGGAGGTGAGGAGGCGATGGGAGGAAGGGAGAGCGCCTAAGCATCGCTTCTGAAAGGGCTGGTGGGGAAACGCGAAGCGCCAATCGTTTCCCATAGTTCCATGGATGGATGGCAAGCCGTTTTCGAAATGGAGCTCTGGCCGTGGGGCAGCGAGCACTCGTCTATGAATCTTCCAGCAGCTACACGGATACACGCCAATTCTTGTTCAGCATGGGCATGTTCACACTGGTGATACTGTGCTACATCTCCTCCGATGTAAATCTGCCATTTGTTCAAACCGAGGCTCTCGCTGAGACTGCGGTAGGCTGTACGGCAACAAGTTTTGTGAGTGAGTGTGCAGCTCGTCAAACATAGTAAATTGTGAACGTATGTATCAAAGCGGGGCTGTCGCTGAGCAGGTTCTTGAGCAGTATGGCCCCACCGCGTAGCTTTTCTTCTACCTCGGAAGATGAAAGGTACGTGTTCAAAACAGAAGACCCACCATAGCGGCGGGCCTATGGGGGCGTTTGTTTCCCAAAAGGCCACTTGGCGACTGCAACATAATGCCTGCAGGGACTTACGAAGAGGGCAGCCTGGGAAGGCGTAGTGTGGTATCGTTGGTACATCTTGGGTATAGTATGGTCCATTGCCCTCCTCCGATTCCAAAAACGCCATGGCCGTCAGTCTGTCGTCGTTCGTCGTTGATTGGTCGTCATCGTCCTCCACAGCGACGTTGAGAGACTGAGGATCTTCGGGTATGGCTTCCAATTCAGCCAGCGAACATTCAATCCAAAAGAGTGTAACCAATACCAACTCAATATCTTAGCCGAATCTACTGATGTGGTGAGGTCAACTGCACAGACAAACGCTGAAATGCATAATCAACACAGAGGCCTTCTTCCCGCGACGACGCCGGATCGGGCGCGCGTGACTTGATTACCGCGACGACGTCGGCCCCGACTTCTGACACCACGAACGACCGTCACACAGAGGCTGTCGTTCTGCAGGCCCCCGGGGCCCGCAGCGGGCCCCATGGAAAATGCCCTCGAACGCCCGCGCTGGCGACGGCGCCGCGTCGAGGCGGCGCGAACCTGCCGTTGCGCGAACCTGCCGTTGCCGCCTGCGGTCCTGCTCCTCTCGGGGCCTTTCTCGACCCCCGGCTTGTCTTCGAGGGTCGCGTGCTGCAGACCGCCCCCCCCGCCGCTGCGCGGGGGGCCAAAGCCTGGCCTCAGGCCGGGCGCTCCCGACAGGCCCACCCTGCCGCCCACTCCTTCTGGAGGGGGGGGGGGGGACAATGCAAAGGCAGATCAAGGAAAACGAAAACGGAGGGGATCGGACGCGGGACGAAAACGGGAGAAAAAACGGATGCGGAGGAGGAGGACGAGGAGGAGGAGGGAAGGATGCACGGAGGAAAATAAGAAACATAATTTACGCACGGCGGCAAATGAACGGCGTCCGTGCCGCCAATTCCCGCGCGAACGCTCGCGACCAAATCAGCCACCGCAAAGGCCCGCACGCGACGTGGCGGCGCCGGGTGCCCGTCGATGAAGGAGGAAGGAGAAACAGACAAGCAGACTGACAGGCAGACAGATAGATAGACACCGCTGTCGCGTCATAGCGGAAGGGTGGAATGAATAACCAGGACAGTGGTTAAGACACCGAGTTAACATCAACCTTACAGGCCCTGGAACCCCTTTTTCGGAAAAAAAGACGAGCGGTGGAGGAGGTGAGGAGGGAGAAACAAATGGAGGGAAAAGGTGGGGAAAATGAGAAATGAAGAGGAGAGGGGAAATTTGCTAATGACGGGCGTGCGCGACCAAATACGCGTCGCAATCTGGGCGAGATGGCCCAGCAACAGCTCGTCGTTCGTACGGTCTGGACAGTTGCGTAGCTTGTTCCGAAAAATATAAGGGCTTCGATGCCGCGCTGCTGGCGCGGGGTCAGCACGCGAAAGACAAGGTGATGAAGGCATTCAATTGCGAGACCGATAAAAGGTTCCTGTGATTCACTCTTCAAAGGTATCCTTTGCTCGGTCCCATGGCGACCGCGCCGCAACCGCGTCACGCATGCGGTCAAGTGGCTGCCGTCGACGCTGGATTGCTACATTCTGCCTCGTGCAAGTGCGACATTGTCGGGGACTGCTGGCGGTAGGCCTGTAGGACATCACTCGCGTCGTCAAAGTCCTCATGAAATCGTCCGCGAGGCTGCCAGCAGTGTCGGAGCCCTGGACGGGGACGTTGCCGTCACCGCAGTGGTCTTCGGCGTCGGGGCTGGTGCCACTTAGCCTTTTGGCGCGCGGGGCTGCAACTTGAAGACTGCTGAACGTTCGTTGTGGGCACCGCGCCGTGCCTCAGCATCGACTGTGATCTGGGAGCTGGCTGCCCCAGGGGCGCGGCGCAAATGGCGCCGTGGAGAGCAAGAGCGATGTTGACGCGTTCCGTTGGCCGCGGTGGGGAGAGGACATGCTGGCCGCCAGCGTGGAGACCACCTCGCTGTTGGAGCCGATGAATGTCCCATGGTTGGCGCTGGGTCCTACTGGCGCGGGCGCCGCGAGCTGAAGCGCTTACTCTACCCTTGTGACCGCAAAGCGTTTGTCGTGCTGGTCGGGCCCCTCAGAGCGTTTGTACTGGCGGTGCTTTAGTTCGTTGTTCGGGGGCTCGAACGACGCCGCGAGGGCAGGTCCAAACGGCTCGTTGCTGACGCTGGCGAAAGACCGCGCAACGTGATTTCCACCTCCGCGTTCACTGCAGGAAAACTGCTGGAGGTAGGAACTGGTGCCACTATCCATGGGTCACTTCGCGACGACGAGCACGGTCTGAACATGCGCGAGAACTCTCGCGGGGCCGAAGCACGAGAAGACGCCGAATCGAGGCTGGCGGGCGCGCGCGCGGCGGGCTGAGCGGGCGTCGCTGAAGCAATCAATGCAAGAGCAAGTTAGAATCGCAGCCAAACGTTGGACAGCGACAAGGGCAGGGGGCACCATTTGCGTGGCAAGACTTTGGCTATAGCTAACCCGAGACCCCTTGCCCCTGCCGGAGCCAGTGAATATTCAAAATCCATGTGCGTTGGTACGCCTGGGAAACAGGCGGGCGCAGAGCCTGATATCTGCGCCGTGAACAGTTCCTCGGGCGCAGGCGTGGCCGCGATCGCGTCAGTCTCGCACGTGGCGGAGCGGATGCACACGACGTTGTCAGCTGGGTCAAACATGTCCTCAACGACGTTTTGGAAGTACGTGACCTCCTCTGGGCCAAGTTGGAAGACGGCCCCTTGGATGTGTCTTGGCGCGGGCTTGGTTGCCTTACTCGTGGGGCGGGGCATTCAGATTAGTCTCTCTTTGCCCGGGTAGGCAGACTTGATGGGCCCCAACACTGCCGAAGGCAAGCTGTTTGCCGCGTGTGCGGATGTGCTGCGCTGGAGCGAAATGCGACTGTACGACGCCCCGTCGCCCTTCCTGTCAGGCGCGGTGGTCAGCGGTGAGCGCAGAGGCTGATGAGAGGGGCCCTGCCGCTGCCTTGATGGGATGCAAAATGACGTAGCCGACTCTATTGAAGGGGCCCACAAACACACAAATAAATACACACAAATAAAAAGATTCCCCATATTTTCCCATATTTTCTTGGTTTTTGTCTTCCCCCCCACTTCCCATATTTTTGCATATTTTCCTGGGAGTCGACGATTAATTGTGTCTGTGTGTTTTTTCCCCTCCTGATCTATGTTTCGTGCGCAATCTCATTCGCTCGCCCCTGAGCCCACGTGGGTCGGATCGGAAAGGCGCTGCTGGTAAGTGGTCTCGCCATCAATCTGGTGGGCGAGATCGCGGCATGCAGCGGCTGCTCGGTCGGCGCCGCCGCTGCTCCGGAGCGCGACCACGCAGGTCTCCTTCCGACTGCGGCTGGTGCCAAATCGACCCGCGAACGTGGCAGTTTGGCGGCCCGTGCCTGGCGGCTGGGGCTGCCGTGCTGCAGGAGGCGCACGGCGACAGAACATTTCGGAACCATGGCGCGCGTGCGTGTACTGAAATGAATGTGGCGTCACTCTGTCACGGCGTGGGATGGGCCGCGTCCGGTATCGCGAGGCAAGAATGGATGGGCTTGCTGCTTGCTCTGAGCAGAGAGAAAGATAGGGAGAGAGAGAGAGAGAGAGAGCGAGCGAGAAAGAGAGAGAGAGAGAGACAGGGAGATAGAGAGAGAGAGAGAAAGAGAAACAACAAATATTAACAAGAACATGCTGAGGGAGAGTGATATTGAAAAACACGACTCGAGAAACGAGAAAGCGAAACAGAGAGAGCGACCGCACAAACAGAGAGGGGCAGAGAGGGGGGATAGATATATATATATATATATATATATATAGAGAGAGGGATCGATATATGTATAGAAAGAGAGAGAGAGAGAGAGAGAGATTGCAACAAGCATAGCTACGTGCAAATGTGTATATAGGTGTATGTGTAGAGAGGGAGAGAGACAGAGACAGAGGGGGAGGAGATGTGGAGAGGGGGAGAAGAGAGAGAGAGAGACAGAGAGACATACACGCGCAGACACGATAAGAAGAGATAGAGAGAGAGAGAACAATAAAGAAAGACAGAGAGCGAGTGAGAGCAGAGGATGGAGAGAGAGAGAGAGAGAAGAGGGAGAGAGAGAGAGAGAGAGAGAAAGAGAGAGAGAGAGAGAGAGAAATAACCAAAGGAAACAAGCAGAGACGACAAACAAGAAACGACTAATAGCCGCGGTCACGCAAACCCAAGCCAGCAGGGGAAAGCGCCTGTCCGGAGCTCTCTTAGGGGCCGAACGCGCCCCGCATAAAAAAGTGTCCCCGAAACGAAGCCCCCCCCCCCCTGGCGCCAGGGCGACCGTGCAGTGAGAGCGGCGCGGTGGCGAGGGCGAATCGCCCCGCGCCTGCGTACTGGATAGAAGACAAGCTGCGTCTTAGCTGGCCAGGCGCTAAACTCTCCTCCCTCAACATGTATTCCTCTCTCCCTCTTCCTCCCCTCCGCGATCCTTTGCATGAGCTGCCGTGCGCCAGCGCAGCAAAGCCATCGAGGGTAGGGGGAGGCATTGGGAAGGAGATGGGGGGTTGAGGGGTCAATGGAGCAGGATCGCGTGATGCCGTCAGTGCCGCCTTCGGCCTCTTGTCGATTGCCGATGGTTGGGTTGTTGTTGCGCTTGCCACGACTTGTACCGTCTGTATCACCGTGGGCACGGAATGGGCGTGAAATCAGGTCCTTTGCCTAATCACTTGAGCGCTCCTGAAGAGTGTTCGCGTAATCACTTGAGCGCTCCTGAAGAGTCTTCAAGGGACCTGGACCCCGAATTCTAAAATCTCCCCGGGTCTGCCGCGGTTCCCCTGGGGTTCCAAGCGACTCCCCGCGTGATTCTGCAGGCCCGAGAAGGCCCCAAGACGGGCCAAGGGGGCCCCAAGAGGCCCCGAAAACGGTCCAGGAGGGCCCCGAATCGCGGAACGATCGCTAGAAGACGCTCAAGGTAGCTCCCAGACGGCCCAAGAGGCTCCCAAGACGCCCCAAGAGGCCTCCAAGAGGCCTATATGAGGGCCCCCAGAAGCCCAAATCAGTGATTTCCCATTGGTGTTGTGAATGCGTTTGGCTTTCTCCCCGTTTCGGCTCCCCGACGCTCCAAGACGGCCCAAGAGGCCCCCAAAAATACCCCAAACCGGCTCAAGAGGCCTCCAAGAGGGCCCGAAAACGGCCCGAAAACGGCCCAATACGACCCAAGAGGTGCCCAAGACGGCCCAACAGGGCCACAAAAGGGGCCCCAAGAGAGGGAACACAAACTGAAAATGCTAGTCTTCCGCACGAAGAGGCCCCCAGGAGGCCCCAAGAGGCACTCAAGCGGCCCCAAGAAGCCCCCAATAGCTCCCCAAGAGGCGCTCAAGAGGCCCAAAGCAAACCCCAAAAGGCCCCCCATGAGGCTTCAAACCTGCCTCCAAGAGGCGCCCGAGAGGCCCCCAACGAGATCCCAACGACCATCCAAGAGGCTTCATACCCACAGCCGGCGCACGGTGGCGGGATGGGCCGAAGGCCGAAAGCTACTAGATAATTATGAAGCGCGCAGACGGCGTTCCCGCAGGGGGGGGGCAAGGGCGCCTCGCCCTGAACGGGTGGAAGGGCCCATGCGCCACCACCTGTGCTTAGCGGCAAGGCCGCCCGCCCGCTGCGTCCAAGGGCGCAGCCAGTGAGGCGCCCAGGAGAGACCAGCGAGCGAGCGAGCGGT